TTAAGCTAGGGCCTCACATACTTTTTCCTCTCCCTGCACTGTGAATGTTTACATGTTATGTGCAATTAAACCATGGCAACATCTAATGTTTGTGTAGTATTATGTTCAGCAGACTGTGTTCTTCTATTGTTGTGACTTAGATGACGTTCAGAGCACATTTTATGCCCAATTCATGCAAAACTCCACGTAATCCAAAGGGGTTCACGTACTTTTTCTTGCAACTGTATATGAGTAGTTACATAGTTAGTAAGGTTGAATAAAGACACCAGTCCATCCAGTTCAACTTGTGTGGATGTGTGTGTTTATTTCAAAACCATCTCCCATATCCCTGTATACTTGGTTCACTAAGAGCCTTTCTTTTTTAACCACTTGCCCTCCGGAAGATTTACCCCTTTTCAGGACTAGGCCGTTTTTTACTATATGGCACTGCACAACTTCAACTGACAATTGCGCGGTAATGCAACACTGTGCACAAATGAAATTTATATCATTTGTTTCCCACAAATAGAGCTTTCTTTTGGTGGTATTTGATCACTATTGGGTTTTTTTTGTGCTATAAATAAAATGAGAAACAATATTTTTTACTTTTTGCTATGGAACATATCCAATAAAAAATTTAAAAAAATTAAATTTCTTCATAAATTTAGGACAAAATGTATTCTGCTACATGTCTTTGGTTAAAAAATCCCAATAAGTGTATATTATTGGTTTGTGTGAAAATTATAGCATCTACAAACAATGGTATAGATACTGTTTTTTTTTTGTTTTTTTTAAACTAGTAACTAGGGATGCACAGATACTGCTGCTGGTATTGGTGCTGATACCGAGTATTTTCACAAGTACTCGTACTTGTGAAAATGCTCCCAGGAGAGGAGAGAAAGCCACAAGGATTTCAAATCCCCAGACCTGTGAAGCGTCTTTCTCTCCTTTCCTTGCAGCGATGATAGTACAGGCTAGATGGCATGTGATTGGCCAGCACCATACATATGACGATGATGAGCAATCAAACTGTCATCCCTGCACAGAGAGGAGAGAAAGTGGTGGGGATTTCAAATCCCCACCGCTTTCTTTCCTCTCCTGCTGCTGAGCACTGAACATATGGGGCATCTGTCTCCATAGTATACATCCCCACACGCCCACTCTCTGCTCAGCATGGGATCCCTGCAGGGAAGTTTCCCGCACCGCTCCTGTGTGAACTCAGGCTATGACAAGCCTGGGTTCACAAAGGAGCAGTGGAGAAACCGCATGCAAATCCCCACCGCTTTCTCTCCTCTCCTACTGCTGAGAATATGGCGCATCTGCCACCAGGTATGCATCCCCTCATGCCCACTCTGCCACTCTCTGCTGTGGGAAACCTCCCTGCACTGCATCTGTGTACGCTATTCTTTGCGGTGCAAATCGCACCACAAAGTATCAGTACTCGCTATCGACGAGTACTTAACCAAAAGTATTGGTACTCATACTCACCGATTAAAAAACGGTATCAGTGCATCACTACTAGAAATGGTGGCAATCAGCGACTTATAGCAAGACTGTGATTGTACGGTGGGCATTCTGACACTAACTGACTGGGTGAGAACTGGCTAATTGCCACTGACATCTCCAGTGACACTAATACAATAAGCGGTGCTAATAAAAAGCACTGTCACTGTACTAATGACACTGGGCAGGAAGAGGTTCACATCTGGAATGATCAAAAGATTAACTGTGTGCCAGGGAGAGTTTTTACTGTTTACTGTGTGGTGTTTTACTAGGGGGATGTGCTGGTTTTTATCTAAAACATAAAAAAACTCTATAGCGCAAATGGAGAAAAAGTGATTAGCTCCCAAGCAAGAAGCCATAGTCTCTGTATGCTAGATCCAGGTGTATTAGTCCACTTCTGTAATGGCTGCAGCTCTTCTCAGTGGTGTATTTAGGTTTTGTGCTGCCCTAGGCAACGCAAAAACCGGACGCCCCCCCCTCCCCGGCTGAGAGAGAGCCTGACACTGACACCAGACCCCCCCTCCCCCCCACGGAGAGAGCCTGAAGGTGACCAACAGCACCCCTGCCCCATCCCCCCCCCACCCAAGAGAGCATTCCACTAACACCCCTCCCCCACACCCCCACCGCGACATAGAGAAAGACACTCATCTTCACAGCTCTGGACATCCCTGGGAATGACAGTTGGTCTCTGCATACACCATCAAGCAGCCCCCAGCCTCTCTCAGATCCCACTTGGTCCCCATGCCACATATATTCCTTCTTCCAGGGGGCAGTGCTTCCCCTAAAAAATGCCGCCCTAGGCAAATGCCTTGTTTGCCTTGTGGTAAATACGCCCCTGGCTCTTCTTACAGGGTATTGGACATCTCTGTGCACTAAAACAATAAACAAACAGGAGGCGCCTTCTGTTTGTTTATTGATGGTTTTTATCTCTCTGCTTTGGAGGGAGATAAAAACTGGGATAAATCCCTACCGACAGGAGAGAGATCTGTGTTGTATACATTCACAGATCTCTCTCCTGTCAGTTGCTTGCCAATCACCGGGTTCCAGCCATGAATCGCTGGCCATGACCCCGTGATTGACATGTACAGGACTGACACTCACTAGCTCTCTGCTCATGGAGCACAGAGAACTGAGCAATCAGTGGTCTTTGAGCTGGCGGGGCATAGATGCAGCATCAGATCAATACTGCATCTAGGTAAATATGATTTAAAGTGTTACTAAACCCACAAGTGTAAAATAAGTCTGTATATGCAGTAAAGCATGCTTGTTATACTCACTGTGGAACCTAATGGGTTAATCCTCTGCATTGTGTAAAAAAGCTGTTTGATCCTGTCTTCTCTGCCCCTCCTTGTTGAAATGTCCACCTGAATCCCCAGTCACATGCACATGCTCAGTTTGGTTTGGTGTGTATTGCTAGAGAGGTTTTTGTTTTCTTGGGAGGGTGCATATGATTAGAACAGGGCCAATCAGCACTGTCCAGACAGAGGGTCAGGGGTTTCACATCCTCCTACAGCAGACAGAAAACTCCTCCTACAAGCTTTAACCAGTGCTCTGCTGAAGTCACAAGACTGCTCTAACTGCTGATGAGAAAAGGTATTTGGCAGTTTATATTTACTAAAATAATTGCATTTCCATGTTGTGTGTACTGTGGGAGAGCAGATATAGTGAATACTAAACCCAGGACCTGGATTTAGTAACACTTAAAAAAATGTATGTGTCCTGCTTTAGCAGTTGATTTTCTACTTCCTAAAATAATGTTTAAATGGATCAGACCATTGCCAATTGATTTCTACAATATGCTGATGCAGTTATTGTTGGCATAGTTGAGAAAAGTGATGCTGTAATGCTATGATAAAATAAAGTATTGCCATAAAAATTTAACTGTAATTTATAAAACAGCTTCTGATGAATAATATTCAATAAACAATTATCTGATACATTAAATGAAACTGATCAAAAGGCAAATAAACATGCTACTCTCCAAACTCCTTAAATCAGTGGGGTTGATTTACTAAAGGCAAATGGGCTGTCCACTTACAATTGAAATTGAATGTGGTAACTTTTCACGTTTTAAAGAATACCAAATTATGTGCAAGTAAAATAAAAAACAGCATTTTTGCTTACACATGATTGGATGATGAAAGTCTGAGAGCGTCACCTCATTCACTATGTCCTTGGGAAAATTCCAAAGTGCAGCTTCCCTTGCAAAGTGAACAGCGATTTTGGCCTTAGTAAATCAACCTTAGTATGTACGCTGCTTGCCAACCTAACATCTAGTGAACATAAACTGATTTCTGTCCAAGCTACAGTATAGATGATTCATGCAAAACACAGTGAAATTATATGACTGCCAGGCATTAGTGGCTCCTTAAAATTAACAACAAAAGCTGACACCAGAATATAATAGCACATGCCTATTGCTGCCTGCACTGCATATACCATTATCAATCTTCTAGAACACTCCAGCAGTCTCAAAGCCTGGGGCAAACAATCTTCACATTCTGACCTGAACTTCCAGGACCCACCCCTTCACAATGCAATTCATTAGATTAGGGAGGCCCAAAACAGTGAACTTAGAGGTGTTAGGGGCATGGTAGAGCTTCAACCTTTACCAATTTATGTCTCCAAGGCTTTGAGGCTCTATAGAGAGTACTCTAGAAGATTAACAAGGATACAAATGGGCACTTTTTATTGCCTGCATTTATATTTTACCAGGTTTTATTGGTGAGTTAGGACAAGGATAAGAATGTTGATTTTTGTTATGTATAATATATTTGAAGAACACAATGTATTCAGCCATTGGCTTTCTATAAGTGGGTGCTTTCATTCATGGAATTATTTAGGCTACAATTTTAATCGTGTGGTGAAACACTGCAGGCATGGTGACTGTTCAAGGACAATATGGAGGTATTTGTGGTAAAATGTATTGGTGCATGATAGGTTCTTATTTTTTTACAAAATTTGTTTTCAGCTGCTATGGCTTTTTGCTAATTTGTAACTAAGGTCCTTCCTATGCAGCACAGAAAAAACTTGAAAGTCCTGCCCTGCTCTCCTATAATCCTATATACACCTAGAGGTGTTGCATCTACAAAGCATAGGGAAACCTGTAAAACAAATCTGTTTTCTGTTAATTTGTGTTTAATAGAAAATCTACTGCACAGCTTAAAAAAGAAAAACAAATTTAAGCATGTAAATAATAATAATCAGAGATTTTTTTCGTATTGCCTAAAATAGAGCAAAACTTCTTTTGCTGATCTGACCATCTAATTATGGTTCATTTATATTTGCTTCTTGCACTACTTTGTTATAAAAGCATTGTTATGTTATTTTGCTGTTTACATTTTCTTATCTGTTCATGTGCAATATCTACACTGAAAAATCTATTTATATGTATTGCTTCTAATGCACAGATCAGTGTCTTCCCTTTTTTAAGGTCATAATAATAATATAATGTAGTACATGTATGTTGTTTTTATGGAATATGTTACAATTTTTATAGCATGTCTATTTTTTTTCTAGAGATTAAAGGCAGCTTTAACCCATCATCCTGGAACTATATCTAATGGGAATATGAACTCAATGGGACATATGATGGACATGATGAACTCCCGACAGGAACAAACACCACATCATCATATGCACTCACACCCACATCAGCATCAGAACTTGTCACAGCATCATCCGTACCCTCATCAGCAGCACCAGCACCCCACACATCATCCACACTCCCAGCCCCATCACCAACAAGGTCATCCTCACCACCATTCCCATTCACATCTGCACCCACATCCATCCCACCATCAGACGTCACCACATCCTCCCCTGCACAGTGGTGGACAAGCACAGGTAGGTGCCAATTGTATCTAATATAATTATTTAATATGTACTTTTCATGTTTATCTGAAGACTTTTCTTTATGCCAGGGTTTGTTCTTCTGTTCATTCTGCCAATGCTGTCATCACTACCTTGGGCAGTTGGGGTCTGTGTGATGGGGGCTTTGGCCACAGCAACACCAAGCAATCATTTTTGTTTAATGGCATCATGGATAGCAACAAGAAGCATTTGAAAGTTAAAATACTGGGACAAGTATGATGCTTACAAAAGCAAGGCCTAATTTTTTTCTCAAATAGTACTAAGAAAGTTTATCAAATTAGAAATGAGTTGCCAGTTATTGTACCCAGACAGGAATTTTAGCAATACAAAGCCTAATTTTGTTTATCAAATCATACTAGCTCTTTAAAAAGGTAGGTATTTAGGCAATAACAAGCCTTTTTTTCTCAGAAAAAGTCTGCTAATAGTAAATTGAATGTTGAATTAGACTGTCAGTACATGGGACTATAATGCCAGCGTTCACATGCCATACTTACTTTATAAAAACAGGCCACAATTAATCTTCCTCCAAAATATTTTATGTAGTTTTAATAAATTGTCAGCTTTTAGATTTAAAACAGCAGGGTATTTTGTAAAAACAATGTACATTTGTTCAAAAAGGTGTAGCTTTTAGTTTGCTGAATTTAAAAATCAATTTTCAGTTCCTAGGATGTAAACAGATATTTTGTCAAAACGACTTCTATTTTTTACAACAAAATGCAGCTGTGGATGTACATACTCAGCTCCTGAACCTAAAAAGATCTTTTAGAAACAGGCTTTTTCTTCTTTTCCAGAAAGCATTGATTGTAGTATACAATACTTTTGTTTGTAAATGGTCATCTCTGGGGCTAAAACAGCAGGGTATTTTTGTAAAAATGGTCTCTACTTTTCCTTAAAAAAATGCAGATTTTGGTGTACTTGTCTTGAAAATAAGATTGGGGCTTAAATAACAATGTAAGCATCAGACAAAATAATGCAACTTTTAAGACACTGGTGGATATACAGTCATCAAGACACTGAACTCAATGACACTGCCAAATTGGTGTAAAATTAAGAGCTTAAAGTGATTGTAAAGCCACGTTTTTTTTTTCCTTAAAAAAAAAAAAGATGTTATACTTACTTGCTCTGTGCAATGGTATTGCACAGAGTGGCCTCTTACCTTCCCTTCTCTGGTACCCCGCCAGCGATCTCTGCTGTCTCTCCTATGAGTGCCCCCTGAACAAGCAGTGTGCTCTATAGACACACACAGCGTGGTTCATCCACGGCCCTCGCTCCTTCCTCACAGGATTTGACTTGACAGCAGCACTTTGACTTGACAGCAGCAATGGCTCTCGAGTTTTCTGTGAGAAGAGGAAGTGAAGGAAGAAGATCTGCAGTCGGGCACAACACTGGATCGCTGACAGGCTTAGGTAAGTGTTTGGTGGGGGAAGGAGGGGGGTAGGGAAAAAAATTTAGTGGGGAGTTGTTTACCTCAATGCAGGGAATGCATTAAGGTGAAAAAAAGACTTTAGAACCACTTTAAATGTTATAGAATGGTCCGCTCAAAGCCCAGACCTCAATTCAAATGAGGATCTATGGCAGCAGCAGTTTTGAATCATCCTCTGTAGAGCATAATAGCATACAATAATGAGCAAAAGGGCAGGGTACAAATGTGCAAAGCTGGTAAAGACTCCCAAAAGACTATATTGTAGCCAAAGGTGGTTCTTCCAGGTATGAATAGCTAGGCAACAAAATCTGTGCACAATACTATACATCTGTTTTAAGTATGTGGTGTAGCGCAAATCATTAAAACCTCAATTAAATTCATATAGATTATAGCTTATATAATGAATGCAGCTGAAATTCGAAAAATTAGAATATCGTGCAAAAGTTAATTTATTTCAGTAATGCAACTTAAAAGGTGAAACTAACATTTGAGATAGACTCATTACATGCAAAGCAAGATAGTTCAAGCCGTGATTTGTCATAATTGTGATGATTATGGCTTACAGCTCATGAAAACCCCAAATCCACAATCTCAGATAATGAGAATATTGTGAAAAGGTGCAATATTCTAGGCTCAAAGTTTCCCACTCTAATCAGCTAATTAAGCCATAACACCTGCAAAGGATTCCTGAGCCTTTAAATGGTCTCTCCGTCTGGTTCAGTAGGAATCACAATCATGGGAAAGACTGCTGACCTGACAGTTGTGCAGAAAACCATCATTGACACCCTCCATAAGGAGGGAAAGCCTCGAAGGGGAATTGCAAAAGAAGTTGGATGTTTCCAAAGTACTGTATCAAAGCACATTAATAGAAAGTTATGTGGAAGGGAAAAGTGTGGAAGAAAAAGGTGCACAAGCAGCAGGGATGACTGCTGCCTGGAGAGGATTGTCAGGAAAAGGCCATTCAAAAGTGTTGGGGACTTTCACAAGGAGTGGATTGAGGCTGGAGTCAGTGCATCAAGAGCCACCACACACAGACGGATCCTGGACATGGGCTTCAAATGTCGTATTCCTCTTGTCAAGCCGCTCCTGAACAACAAACAACGTCAGAAGCATCTTACCTGGGCTAAAGAAAAACAAACCTGGTCTGCTGCTCAGTGGTCCAAAGTCCTCTTTTCTGATGGGAGCAACTTTTGCAGCTCATTTGGAAACCAAGGACCCAGAGTATATAGGAAGAATGGAGAGGCACACACTGCAAGATGCTTGAAGTCCAATGTGAAGTTTCCACAGTCTGTGTTGATTTGGGGAGCCATGTCATCTGCTGGTGCTGGTCCACTGTGCTTCATTAAGTCCAGGGTCAACGCAGGCATCTACCAGGAGATTTTAGAACACTTCATCTTCCTTCTGCAGGCGAGCTTTATGGGGATTCTGACTTCATTTTCCAGGAGGACTTGGCACCTGCCCACACTGCCAAAAGCACCAAAACCTGGTTCAATGATCGTGGGATTACTGTGCTTGATTGGCCAGCAAACTCGCCTAACCTGAACCCCATAGAGAATCTATGGGACATTTCCAAGAGAATGATGAGAGACATGAGACCGAACAATGCGGAAGAGCTGAAGGCCGCTATTGAAGCATCCTAGTCTTCCATAACACCTCAGCAGTGCCACAGGCTGATAGCTTCCATGCCATGCCTCATTGAGGCAGTAATTACTGCAAAAGGGGCCCAAACCAAGTACTGAGTACATATGCTTATACTTTTCAGAGGTCCGATATTGTTCTATGTACAATCCTTGTTTTATTGATTGCATGTAATATTCTAATCTTCTGAGATTGTGGATTTGGGGTTTTCATGAGCTGTAAGCCATAATTTATCGCAATTATGACAAATCACGGCTTGAACTATCTTGCTTTGCATGTAATGAGTCTATCTCATATATTAGTTTCACCTTTTATGCATTACTGAAATAAATGAACTTTTGCACGATATTCTAATTTTTCGAGTTCCACCTGTATATACTGTATACATATATATATATTAGCTAAGTACTAAATTGCTATATGTACAGTGCTCAGCATAAATGAGTACACCCCAACAGATTTGTCAGAAAACCTTTACTTTCCTTTCAGAATCAACATTTTCTATGGGCCACTATACTACAAAATACTCCCACAAATGCAGGCCATTGATTGCAAACAAGAATTGTTAATTTGCACACACAAAAAAAGTATTTTTGCAAACAAATTCATTCAAGATCATGATGCAAAAATGAATACAACCCAATGAAAGTCTTAGGAGAAAAGCTAAATTTTAGACATCAAAATCCTAAAAGATTTCAACTACAGGTGAGTCTAATTATTAATTAAACAAGTGTCCAGCAGACAGTTGATTATAAAAGAGCATTACTTAACAAAGAAAACCCTTTCCCATTTCATGCTGTCAGCAATTGCACCACATGGAAGAGAAATGTCACAAGGCCTGAGAAAGAAAATCATTTATTTACACTACAAGGCTACAGGAAGATCAGCAAAGCTTTATTTATCAGTCAGAATAATGTTGCAAAAGTAATAGAAAAATTGAGATAGATGCAACCATCTCACAGAGACATCCAGGCAGTCTATGGCAGTTAACACGTCAACAGAAGCGTCTTCTGATGGGAAGGATTGATGAAAATCACCATGCAAGTTCACTGCAGTTAGTTAAAGAAGTACAAAAACCAAATTGTGATGATTGTTTCCGACGAGACAATATGGCATACACTGCAGAGGAATGGCAAGTATGGGTGTCGTCCACGAAGGGAAGCCTCTCCTAAAGCCCAGGCACAAAAAAGCCCGTCTAGTATTTGCCAGGGCCCATGCTGAAAAAGAAGACTACTGGGACTCCGCACTCTGAAGTGATGAGACCAAGATAAATGTTTTTGGAACCGATAGCTTCAAAACTGTATGGCATCGCAAAGGTAAGGAGTACAAAGAAACATGTATAGTGCCTACAGTAAAACATGGTGGTGGCAGTGTCCTTCTGTTGGAGAGATGCATTTCATTGATGGTATCATGAATTCACATATGTACTGCTCTATATTGAAAGAGAAGATGCTACCATCACTCTGTGGCCTTGGTCATCGTGCACTTTTCCAACATGACAATGATCCAAGACACACATTTAAGACCACTGTTGCATTTCTGAAGAAGAACAGGGTGAAAGTGATTCAGTATGTCTCCTGATCTGTACCCAATTGAACACCTATGGGGAATTCTGAAGAGACAAGTTGAGCAGCATCATTCTCCATCCAGCATCCAGGCCCAAAAAAGAGGTTGTTCATGAAGAATGGAAAAGATAGATATCTCAATTTGTCGTCAACGTGTTCATTCCATGCCTAGAAGACTAGGTGCTGTCCTTACAAATCATGGAGGTCATACAAAATACTAGATGTAGTAGTTTTTGTTGTGGGGTGTATTCATTTTTGCATCAACTAATTTGAGTAAAACTGAATATTTTGAAATCTTTTATATTATTAACCTTAGTTTCATGTAATGAGCTAAACAAATGTCCTAT